CGTGACATGTGCTGTCTCTAAGTGATCTGTAATACCTAGTACAGTGTAAATGTCGTGTAAGTGGGTGCTATACTGTGCTGCTTAGGGAACAATGGGGAGTTTAAAAAGGCCACACGTGTTCAGAACATTGTTAGATATATGTTTTCAAGCCAGAGTTGGTTGATTCTGGGGAAGAACCTTCAACACAAAGGCCTCGCTGTCAGGATTATATAACAAGGAGCCCAACATGCACCTTTGCCATAATGATTTTACAGAGCTCCTGAGAGGCTGCAAATAAAGAACAGGCGGCGAGTTCTTTGCCCACTCCAAAGTGAGGAGATACTCCACTCACATAGGACTGGGGACGAAATCTCACTCTGCGACCCTGAGCTCACTGTTCAACAGAACCTCAACAGAATTGAGGTGGAAGAGGTTGAGAAGGCAAATATGCTTAAGAACAGCCATTGAAAGTCGTTGACAGGCTATAGCACTTCCTCTCGGTCCCCATCTCAAGGCAAGAGATGGGAGCATTTTGTTATCATAAATAAATGCGGCAGGAAACTAGAAGACCATGCGGACAGCCTGGCCTATATCCCTGGACTCTGGGTGAACACGTGGCCTGGGGACTGCCCCCATTCAGGTCCTTAGGCAAGAAGAGGCTGGGCTGGCCAGCTGCCCCGGCCTGCCAAGGAAAGGGGTGGCTGCTGAGCTGGGAGTGGGAGGGATAGAGAATGCGTAAGTGTTTTCCATAAGGATCATGCAGAAGCGGGGGGGGGGGGGGGGGGGCTGGCTGCAGAGTCCCCAGGTGCACTGATTGCGAGGATGACTCTACAAGGGGGCAGGGCGGGAGCTGGTCTAGCTCCAGATGGTCTCTGCTTTTTGGCAATTACAGTAGGGACACCTCCAAGGACGAGGGCTTCCAAAAACCCACAGGGTACTCAGAAGACAGAGAATCAGGGCTCACCTCTGCTGAAGCCAGAGGGAAGCAACCGCGGGGCCAGGGGAACCGGAAGAGCCACACACTCCAGTGCCACCTGTGACCTGCAGGACACAGAAGGGGCTGCAGAGTGGAAGAAGGCAAGCTTGGGGTGGGGGTGGGGGGTCCCCATCTCTAACTGAGGGGAAGGGCCATGCCTTCACTTTCCATAAAACGTGGCGTTTCTTTCATTCCCCGGATTAGAAATGTGAATTATGAAAATGAGAATATTCTTGGGGCTGCATCTGGGGAGGACCTGTTGTTCTTTAAGATGAATGACCAGAGAAATGATGACTGAGTTTCTGTCTCTCAAAGGGTTCATCTAAAGGGGCAGGAGAAAGGTGTCAAGCCAGCAGGTGCAATGAAGTTCCTCAGTGCCTGGAACCTCAGGAGCTCTGACCGTCCGTGAAGGGCCACTCCTACGTAGAGTCGGCCTGACAAAAATGATTTCTATTCCCAACCCACACTCCCACCAACACTCCCTCTCTGGCCTGTGTGACTTAAGATGGTGCAGTAATTTAACTTCTTCACCTTAAACACACAGCACAACACACACACACACAGCATTAATGATGCAAATTGATCCCAGCCAATCTAGGAAAGAAGATTTCAGCAACCACTATAAAAATACATGTTCTTCTCTTTTCAGATTCAAAAACAGCATGTAAAAACACAGCTCGTTCAAGGCCATGGATGATGAGGACTTCGCATTTAACATTTTGCATCTTTGGCCAAAAAAAAAAATTACAATGTTATCTCAGGCCATCTACAAAGGTGCTTCAAAAAGTTAATGAAAAAATTAAATTTAAAGATAAGCCTATTTTGGTGCAAAAAGTTTGAAATGTATGTAGGTTTTTCTTTCCACAATATTCTTTTTCCATTCAGTTTCATTTTATTTTATTTTTCATTTGAAAGTCAGAGACAGACTGAGAGGCCTTCCACCTACTGGTTCACTCCCCAAATGCCTGCAGGTATGGGATGCAGGTATTCAAGAAGTGTCTTAACTGCTGGACTAAACACCTGCCCCTGGGGTCCCTTGCTTTCCTTTTTGATATTGTTGCAGAGGTTGTGGTTGATTGGTGACCATAGCTGGTGTTCATGCTTCAGACCTGCAAAGCTGTTTGGAGGCTCTTGTGTGGGGTTTGGTGACTGGCAAACTTTGCCGCTGGTTGAAGAGGTGGTGAATTGTCTTAGGTTGGTCACATTTCCTGGAGGAGAATTCCTTCAATATCCGACCCCTGGGCTGTTTCTCTCATGGCCAATGTGGGTCTCCCAATTCAACATGAAATCTTCACTTAATAATCCTATAACATAAAACAAGCTCCTATCCTGAATAGTACCCAGTGTCTCTCAAGTTTGTTTGCCCACAAAGAAAAGTATCTAACATTTGGTTGTGGTAGAGGTGGGATGCTTGCCTGGAATCATATTTGGGGGCAGCAGTGGTGGTGGTGGTGACAGTGATGGTGGCAGTGGTGGTGATAATAATGATGGTGATGGTAGTGGCTAGGTGGTAGTGGGGCTGATGGTTCTAGTTCCTGCTTCTTCAACCATTTCTACTCTATTAGCTCTCTTCCTCACCCCTTCAGATGATGCCTGGTGCCTCCAATTCCTGAGGTGTGCTAGGATCCAGCGACTTGCCTGCACACTGAAGTTAAAACTTTCTCCAGTTGTCAAAGGATGTTATGATTCACTCAGCTACTGTACTTTTTTACAAAAACTTAACTGACACATCTAAGCTCCTTTTCTCTTTGTTTTTGTAAACTTGTACCTTTCATTCTATTGTCATTTGAGACAATAGAAGGAGACAGAAAGTGAATGGGCTTGATTTCCATTTTAAAATGGATATTCTACCCTGACCCCCGGGACAACCTAGATTTTGGTCTTTTTTCATCTGCTTTCTGCCCATTGTTTCATTTTATTTTCAATATAAAGAAGAGGTTCCATCTCCAAGCACATCGAACACTCTGGAATCAGGTAAGATTTATGAGCTCATCACTGTCTCTCAGGGGCCTCAGGGAGTGAAAGAGACAGGGGCTGTTTCTTTTTTTTTTTTTCAGTTTTTTAAATATATTTTATAATAATGAAGACAAAAAAATAGGAAATTAGAATGTGTTTTAAGCTTTTTAGATTTATCAAATTCGTATTTTCAACACTGAAAAAATTACAAAGCAGTATAATTACATGCTGTTCATAAGATAATTGCAGGATTTATTAGAATATTAATTTGTAACACAGGCAGAGTGCTGCAGTAGGGAGACACCAGCTTAAACCGGTGTGATGAGTATCTGCTTTTAACTCTATTTCAACTCACTTAGTGATAACATCAACTTCTGAATCTTAGAATTCCAGGGGATATGGTGATCATGGCAGAATATGGTGGCCAAGGCTTGTGTTTCCATATATTCTTTTATAAAAAAGATTTATTTATTTATTTATTTGAGAGGCAGAGTTACAGACAGAGAGGCAGAGAGAGAGACACACACACAGAGAATCTTCCATCTGCTGGTTCCCTCCCAAAGGGCCATAACAGCCAGAGCTGGGCCAGTCTGGTGCCAGGAGCCAGGAGCTACTTCCAGGTCTCCCTCGTGGGTGCAGGGCCCCACACACTTGGGCCATCTTCCAGGCCATCAGCAGAGAGCTGGATCAGAAGTGAAACAACCAGAACACGAACTAGGGCCCTTATGGGACGCCGGAGCTGCAGACGGAGGCTTAACCTACTATGCCACAGCACCAGCCCCTCCATCTCCCCTTCCACACACCACTGTCTTGGGACCTAGAATATCAGCAGAGAACCTCCCTGCAAAGGCAACGGGAGCCGGGTGGCCGAAAGGTGAGCAAAGAACTGCCTTGTACCATTGCCTCAGGCCAGGGGGGCCAGGGTCCATCAGTGGCAGGTGTCTCTGCAGAGGCTTTCTGTTTATGGACCTGGGTCACTCCTAGCACATTGTCTCTGGGGATGTTTTCTTCCTTTGGGCGTGTTCATAGGCAGATTCTCTCTCTCTCTCTCTCTCTCTCTCTCTCTCTTCCTCTCTCTCTCTCTCTTTCTCAACAGCCACAACAGTAGGCTGAGCCAGGATGAAGCCAGGAACCTGGAACTCCTTCCTGGTCCATCATGTGGGTGCAGGGGCCCAAGCACTAGAGCCATCCTCTGCTGCCTTCCCAGGCACACGAGCAGGATCAGAAGTGGAGCAGCCGAGACTCGAACCAGCACTCACAAATGGGATGGCTGTGCTGAGGGCGGCAACTTAACCTAGTGCGCCCCAGCGTCGGCCCCTGCTGATGTCATGAGATGAACAGACACTGGCTCTGAAACCACATGGGCTTGATCCGAATACACAGCCTTGGGTCTAGGACAACTTCTCCGGGCTCTGGTTTTCATCTGTATAAAGGGGATACTGATAGTATCGACTTCCTGGGAGTACTTCAGAATAAAATGTTAGAATAAAATGTTAGATGGGAAATGCCGATTGTAATGTGTGCTACATAGGAGGTGTTCAATAAACAGTAGCCAAAATTATTGTCAGTGGTTTTTTCCCCACTCAGTAAACATTTATTAAGCTTCTATTAAGTGCTAAGCAACAGAGGAGAAGCACAATGCCTGCATTGTCTCGAACCAGATAGATGTGCAGAGACAATGCGTCTGCTGTGTACGTCCATCCTGTGCGTGCTAGCAGTGATGAGAACTGAAGCACACTGGACCGGAAAGACAAAGGATCAGGCTGGGCAGGTCTGGGTAACCCAAGCCATGGGAGGTTTGGCAAAGTCTGCATAGAGACTATTTCGTATTCTGCCTTTTTAAACTGAATATCAAACTACAAACACTTTTAATTGCGCTTAATCTTAGTTGCTACTTTATCTTCCCATCATTTTTAATGACTGGGTGATGTCGCCCTGTTTCAAGGTACTATATTTTCTTTCACCCTTCCCCTGTCATTCGGTTTGTAGGCTACTAATTTGGACCTGTTATTAATATCACTGCGATGAACATGCCCCGGGCAGTTTTTCCTGGAATTAGTTCTGCAGGATAAGTTCCAGGTGAAAGGGTAGGAGCGTTTGTTTCAACAGCTCTTGCAACTGACTCTCACGTTGCTGTCCAATGGTTCACTCAGCGGATATTAGGATTTTACGTATATTTTCGGAAGAGGTAAAGTTGGTGCTTCAGCGTCTCACTTTCCGTTTCTTCGGTGAGTCCTCGGTGAGGCCAATCTCGTGACTGTGCTGCGGGAGAGCAGAGGAAGTGGCCACCGCCGGGATGCAGCAGGGCGGGATTTGACCCACTGTCAGCAGTGAAGGATTTGTCTCCCTGAGATGTGGGAGAAGTAGCTCTGCATGCTGGCACTCGTGGCGTTTCTTTATTGCACTCTTGGGTTTTGCCTGTCTGGACCCTGGAATGCATGCAGCAGGGCCCACGTTGTCAATTCTAATCCTCACTGCCATTCTGGGAGCATGGGAGCTGCTATGTGGGGGCCTCCTATCCTGCTGAGCACTCTGAAGAGTTTGGAAAATCAGCATGGGCTGGAATAATATTTGTGGCTGTTCCATCGTTGATTGGAAGTTGTTGGCTTTGGTACTGTTGTTTGCCTGTAGCCTGTTGTCTTAGCCTGTCCGCTGTTACTGCAATAATATACCCGAGACCAGAGAATTGGTAAAGAACAAACGTTTTGTTTGGCTCACAGTTCTGGAGGCTGGGCAGACCAGGAGCAAAGCCCCGGCACCTGTTCACCGGCTGGGGGGGGGGGGGGGGCTGCTTGCTGCATCCAACATGGTACTGGGCACAGCACATGAGACAGAGCAAACTGCCACCTCGGATCTCTCCTCTTCTTCTTTGTCTAAAGTTTTGGTTTTTTTTGTTTTTTTTTTTTTTGTAAGATTTAGTTATTCATTTATTTGTAAAGCAGAATGACAGCAGGGGAGAGACAGAGAGAAAGAGATCTTCCATCTGTTGGTTCAGTCTTCAAATAGCCATAACAGACAGGGCTGGACCACGCCGAAGCCAGGAGCCAGGCACTCCAGCCAGGTCTCCCACATGGCTGGGAGGGGCCCAAGAAACTGGCCCATTCTCCACTGCTTTCCCAGGCACAGGAGCAGGAAGCTGGACCGGAAGCAGAGCATTCCGGCCTCAATATGGGATGTCAGTGTTGCAGGAGGTGGCTTAACCTGCTACACAATGCTAGCCACCATCTCCTCTTCTAGAAAAGCCACTGAAGCCACCACAGGGCCCCACCCTGATGACCTCATCTAGATCTAATGACCTCCCGAAGGCCCCACCTCCACATGCCATGCCCTTGCGAACTTAGTAGTTAAGTTCCCAGCACATAAACTCTTGGGGAACACATGCAGACCATAGCACCTGTCCATCATGGCCTCGGAGCGGGGGCGGGGTGAAGGATGGAGGAGAGGACAGGCTGGAGGAAGTCCCGAGCCGAGAGGAGGCGTGCCTGGGATTGCTCTGAATGAGGAAGGTGTCAGTGCGGCAAAGCTGGTGTTCCCGGACTGGGGAGGAGCCCAGAGAAGGGCGTGGTGGAAACACCCAAGCAGGAAAGAGGAACCTGAGCACGTGGGGTGGGGCAGGGGTGGCGGAGAGCTTGTGGCAGGCTTTTCCCTCAACACGGACAGCTGAAAGGGAGCCCTTACTACCCAAGGCCAAGTTTAATGGGTACAGGGACAAAGAATGCAGTCTTTTTTTTTTTTTTTTTTTTTTTTTTTTGACAGGTAGAGTTATAGACAGTGAGAGAGAGACAGAGAAAAAGGTCTTCCTTCCATTGCTTCACTCCCCAAATGGCCGCTACGGCTGGTGCTGCGTCAATCCAAAGCCTGGAGCCAAGTGCCTCCACCAGGTCTCCCATGCGGGTGCAGGGCCCAAGCTCTTGGGCCATCCTCCACTGCCCTCCCGGGCCACAGCAAAGAGCTGGACTGGAAGAGGAACAACCGGGACTAGAATCTGGTGCCCATATGGGATCCTGACACTGCAGGCGAAGGATTAACCAAGTGAGCCACAGTGCCGGGCCAAAGTGCAGCCTTTGTGGAAGGAAGCAGCCAGACACAGGAGCCTAAGGCAACAAGTGGCGTGCAAGGTTTCTGCAAGTTCCCAGGGACCTTAGAAAGGGACACTGCAACACTTTGAAGGGCTGGTGTAATATCCCTTAGATTGTAAAACCAGAGACGGGTGGCTGAGACCATGGCCTTGGCGCTGGGTGGCCACAGGCCAGTGGAGAGCGGTTGTCACCAGCAGGCACAGATGATCACCACTGGAGGAATACCGAGGACTCACTGGCTCCATTGCTGTCCCCCATCTTTAGACCAATTGCTTCCTCGTGCCACCCATGGATGGTTGGGAGAAGATGCCCACCTATTTTGCATCACAGAGGGAAAAAAGAATTTGAAATTCCTGGAAAGGAGGAGAAAGTGACAGCGATGGGTAGGAGCACAACTCAAGAGCCAGCAGGATGGTAGCGTGCTGTGTCCTCTGGATTGGGCCTCCTTCCTCTGACCCCCAAATATTTGGTAAAATCATTTCTGCTAACTGAACTGCCGGTTGTCAGGTGATGTGTTGCAAAACCTCAGCAGGAGGCTCAGCATTGAGCCCATGTGGACGTGAAAGAGGCCTGGGGCTGGCGTGCAGAAAGCCGGGAGAAAATGCAGCGATGGACCAAGAGGGGCTGTGGACTGTCACATGATGTGCTCCTGGGTGGTTCCTGCGGGGGGAGGCGCATCTCTCTGGGGACGGCCTTTTGAAGATGCAAATGCCAGGGGCTCTGGCCTTATTCTATCTCTAAGGTGGGATGGTGGCAGTGACTGCCTGGAGTTGTTCCAATTGGGTTAGGAGTTAACCATAATGTTCTTACTCTAGGGGCCGGCACACCCCAAACAGCAGTCAGTGCTAACCACGATGGCAACCAGGAGGTGGAAGAGAGCCATTGTGGAGATGAGGATGATGGCTCCCTACCCTTCATCCTTTCTCCCCTTCTCCTTACCACACTCAGTCTCAGTGACACAGCCCTGTGGGTCTCAGCCAATGGTGACAAAGATTTTCCCAGCATCCCTTGAGGCCATGAGACCCGGTTTTGAGCAATACAATGTTCACAGTGGGGCTTCTGGAGGAGAAACAAAAGTTACCACCTGGTTGTCACACACTTTCCCCTCTTCCTCCTGCTTGAACACAGGTGTGATGTCTGGAGTCACGGGCATCATGATGTGATGCTGAGGGACGAACTTGAAGGCAGGCACCAAGGGAACCAGTCAGAAGCCCTCGTGTTAGCAAGCTGCGAAACCAAGGCTGTCAGCAGCTCACTGCAGACCTGGGAGCGAATAAGGCTCATGGTCTCTGTTACTGCAGCCAGAGGCACTCCTCAAGAGGACCTCGTTCCCACGGAGCAGAAGACGCTCCAGGGGACTCCTGGCTCGATTGGATACCCTGCCCTACGAAACTGTCCACCGCAGTCACTTCCTTTGTGTGAGTCCGGGGCAACCGGTCTGCTTTTGCTCCTCAGAGCTCAGCTTAATGCGGGCAGCTTAACCTGAAATGAAATGCTCGCTTCGGGACAGCATATTTGAACAGGACAGCTCCACTAGGGCGCCATACAAATAGCATTATTTCCCATGTGCCTGAAAAATGTGGAGAAGCCCCACCCTCCACGTGCACTAATATGACAATCACTAGAAACTTGTGGCTGTTACAAACGAGACAGCCCACAAATGTAAAATATATGCCAAGGGGCCACTGGCGTAGCAGGTAAAGCCAGGAGCCAGGAGCTTCTTCCAGGTCTCCCACATAGGTGCAGGGGCCCAAGTACTTGGACCATCTTCTGTTGCTTTCCCAGGTGCATTAGCAGGGAGCTGGATTGGAAGTGGAGCAGACGGGGCTCGAACCAGCATCCATATGCCTGCTGTGCCGGCATACCATGTGGGTGTCAGTTCAAGTCCCCATCGATCCACTTCAGATCCAGGTCTCTGCCCTGGCCTGGGAAAGCAGTAGAAGATGGCCCAAGTCCTTGGGCCCTGCACCTGCATGGGAGACCAGGAGGAAGCACCTGGCTCCTGGCTTCAGATCAGTGTGGTGTGCCAGCCACAGTGCGCCGGCCGCAGCGGCCATTGGGGGGTGAACCAATGGAAAAGGAAGACCTTTCTCTCTGTCTCTCTCTCACTGTCCATTCTGCCTGTCAAAAAAAAAAAATGCTATAAAAAAAAGAAATGTTAACCTTGCAAATACATGGAACATGCTACTGCTAAAATTATTTTTCCTAGGTTCTTTGTGGAAGCCATGAAGTGGCCAAAGTGTGCTAGGGTGGGTTTGCCCGAGTGGAGTGTGCAGCCATGCGTGTTTGCAGGTTTGCGGAGGAGCTGTCAATCGGCGTCAGGAGGAATCCAAGGGTCTGGCCTACCGCTTGATTATGTAGGAGGCAGAGTGATTCAGAAGCCCTGACCCCATGACATGGTTCAGAACGACACTTACAAGCCGAGTAGAGGAGGGACAAGAAGGTCTCTCTCTCTCTCTCTCTCTCTCACACACACACACACACACACACACACCTCCCCGAGAAGCAGTGCAGTGGAACAGAAAGAGACAGGAGATTGCTTGGCCCAGGCTAGGCTAGAGGTTAAGCATATAGGCTTTGGAGCCAGAATCACTATGCAAGTTTTTTTTTTCTATGTCTCAGTTTGTTCATCTCGAACATGGGTATCTTTATCATGGGATTGCAGCGAGGTGCCAGAGGCCAGATGGCTTACAAGTGACAGTTCTGGAGGCTGGACGTGCAAGGTCAGGGTCATTGCCTGGTCGCGTTCTAGTGAGGGTCCTCTTTCAGCTTGCACATGGCCAACTTCTCGTTGCACCTGCATAGGGGTTCGAGGGCAAATACAGCCCTGTGGACTCCCTTATAGGAGGGCTCCAACCCCATGACCTGATCACCCCAAAGGCCCTTCACGTTGGAGGGTAAGATTTCAATATGCAGATTTTGCGAGCCCCAAATAAGCAGTCCATAAGAAGGCACCCCGGTGTTCAGAGTTCCGCAGTGTTTAAAGAAGCCTCTGATTGGCTCTACGTGGTCACGTGCTCCTCTCGGGTTTTTTTTTTTTTGGCCAGGGGATGTGGCCTTAGGCTTGGGTCTCACGCTGAGCCCAGGCACACAGGCAGCTGGATTTGTTGTCCCAAGAAAGGTGGAGGAAGGGCGCCACAGATACACACAGCTGCCAGCCCTCCTCCTCCACCTGCTCTGCTCCGTGACCCCGGGGCAAAGGACTGCAAGCATCAGAAGCTCAACTTCTGCTTCCTAGCAGAATGATGACGATTACACAAGCCCTGCCCCACAGAAGGTGCCCAGCGGACGGTACGCGCTCCACTCCATGGGGCAAACCGTGCTGCCGCCATCGCTGGCAGTGAAGACCTGACGATTATCCATGTTTGGCAGTTCTGCTCTCTGGGGCTCACAGCACAGCTCCAACTCGACAATCAATGTCAACAAAAAGGTCAAGTGCGTGGGCCCCTGCCTAGTGTCTCTTTAACAAACGCCCCAGCCCCAGCCCCACCCCCACGCCCAGCCATGCTCCAGGGAGCCTGTCTTCCCTCACTGGCTAAGCAGTTTTGGTTCAACCTGTTCTCCCTTCATAGCTGGGGTTTTGTAAGAGGCCAAATTCCAGGCTGGGGCAGGATAAACAAAATTGCATGGCTAATGATTGGTGAGTGTGCCTGGAATGCTGTTTACCGGGGATTTCAGGGAGGAGACTTTGTCACCCCCTGGACTGTTCACAGGGAGGCTGTTAAAACAGGAAGCAGGGGTCAGGCTCTGCACCGAGGCTGCCTGGAGGTTTTGCTCTCCCCCACACCTCCCTCCCCTACGTGGTTTTTTTTTTTTTTTTTTTTTTTTTAAGAGTGGCGATACCTGCTCCCAACTGGAAATTCTCTGCCTCAATTTGCTTTACAAGGAAATAAAATCCTCCTGGTCAAAGCCTTGCAGTTACCTAATACTTTACAGCATACAAAAGTTTCTCGATCCACCACCGCCTGTTTTGCAGGTGGAGAAACAGATCTCAGAGAGGGGCAGTAACTTCCCCAGGGGTGCACAGCCGGGAAAGGGTAGGGTTGGGACTGGAGGGTTTTCCCCAGAGAAATGAGGCAAACAGTAGTGTGTGCACTTGATGCACTGGATCTGCAGCTCAGCCTTCGCTCTGAGTGAGGAGAGCTCACTGGGATATTTTCTGAAGGAGAAATGAACAGAATGGTCCCTGGTTCCCATGCGGGTCTTATTATGATGGGGAACGATTTGTCCTTTAAGCCCCACCTAGAATTTTAGACATTTCTTTTTAAAGATTGATTTTAGTTATTTGAAAGGCAGGGCTACAGAGAAAGAGAGAGAGAAGGATGAAGACACACACACACACACACACACACAGAGAGGGAGGGGGAGGAAGATGGGGAGGGAGAGGGAAGTCTTCCATCTGCTGGTTCACTCCCCAGGTGGCCACAACATCCAGGGCTGGGCCAGACTGAAGCCAGGAGCCAGGATCTTCTTCCAGGTCTCCCAGGTAGGTGCAGGGGCCCAAGTACTTGGACCATCTTCTGTTGCTTTCCCAGGTGCATTAGCAGGGAGCTGGATTGGAAGTGGAACAGACTGGACTCGAACCGGCGTCCACATGCAATGCCGGTGTCCCGGAGAGGGCGGCTTTCCATGTTACATCACAGCTCCGGCCCTGAATTTAGCAACTTGCTTCTTACACTCACACTGTCCCTCCCTGTTCAAACACAGCCCCAGGCTCTCCACCTCCAGTGTCTGCCCCATTTTTAAAAGAGCCATCCAGGTAGACAGGACTGTGGGAAGACATCCGAGTGTATTTCCTAGCCTGGCCCCAATCTTGCTGTCTAGACAGCCAGAGGCAGATCTCTCACCACCATCTGGCTGTGGGCCTTTATTTCTTTATCTGATAAAAGGGGCCATGAAGTCCAGATGAGCCCAGAGATCCCACTCATGCTTTGAGAACTTCTAGAAGGCGTACTCTTCCAGCCCCTTGCTTGCCGCTCTGCTACAGAGGCTGTGGGGCCCAGGGCAGTGCCTGCTCCTGCCCCCTGCCCTGCCCCTCAGTGCCCTCTGCCTTGCTGGCCACCTGCTATGTGCCCCCGGGGCCCCTGCTGCCCTTGCTGATGAGCTGAGCGCCGCATTCACGAGAACCTACGTGGAAGATAAAGCCAGGCGCGGGGACGGACATGGGGCAGCGCTCCCTCGGCCCCACACGGCCCTCTGCCCTGCAGGCAGCTGCCCACCAGCCTGGGGCAGGACTGGTTGCTGTGCCAAAGGTGCAAAGCTCCAGCTAGGCAGCTGCTGTGACCTCGTTCTCCTGATGGTCCTGCCTGGCCAGGGTTTCTCTGATTCATGCCCAGGCAGCCCGCGCGTGCCACCTGGGTTGGATTGTGCCCGTTCCTGGTGAGTCCGCTGGGTGGCCAGGCCCGGGGCCTTCCTGGCTGCATGATGGCTGTCACTCGTGGCGGGCCTTCAGGGCCCTTGGTCACTGCCCCTCTCGCAGTACCACGCAGCAGTGATCCGTGTATGGGCATTGAGGCGAGGCAAGGCGAGTGGCTTGCCCAGCTTCCCGCAGCTGGTGGAGGCAAACACCACCTTGCAGCGTTTCAAACATGAAAGGATATTCCAGAAAATGCATGCAGGGGCAAGGGTTCGGTGTGGTGGTCAAGCCACTATTTGAGCTCTGTGCATCCCATAGTCAGTTCCCCGGGTTCCCAGCTCAGCTCTCTGATCCAGCTTCCTACTAACATGCCCCTTGAGGGATGGTGATGATGGCTCAAGTACTTTTGTCCCTGTTACCCACGTGGGAGAACCAGATTGAGTTCCAGCTCCTGCCTTCAACCTGGCCTAGCCTTGGCTGTTGCAGCCATTTGGACAGTAAACCAGTAGATGAGATCTCTCCCTCTCTCTCTCTCTCCCTCTCTCTGACTTTCAAATAAATTTTTTTTTAATTTTAATTTATTGAAAATTGAATTACAGATAAATTTATTGTGGTGCAGAACATTTTGAAATCCATGCAGTTTTTGCATTATATTCAGTTTTCAATGAGCTTTCTGGAGACCATCCATTCCAATGGTCTTCATGCTCTTTGATTACCCTAACTCACTGCCGTGCCGCTGTAGAACTTGGATGATGGAGAAACAACCCACAAACAATCAGGTCTTGTCTTCCCAACTGAACACCCAGATGCTGTGACATTCGAGCGATTTCTAAGTGAGCTGGGGAATGTCCTGGTTAGATTAGGAATATGCAAAGCCATTTGGGTTTTAATAACATGGTGAGAGAATCGTGTGCCTTCAAAGGCTTTATGAGCCCTGGAATGCATTTTCCAAAGCAGGAATGAGCTGACACAGGCAGAGTGTCAGCTGGAAAAACAGGGTCTGGGTTAGGTGGCCCAGAAAAAAACCTGCTTTGGTGCCCAGAGCTTCCCATTGATTTCAGCCACTGGTCAGCACAGGCCAGCAGAACAATTGTCCCATCGGCGAATGTGCCTTGGAAGTGACCCCACACAGCTAATGGGGGCTTAATAGTGGCTTACTTAGTCCTTGGGAGGGTTCCTGTTGTCATTATTAGTAAGAAAATTACCCATCTGTCATTCCCTTTAAACTTGTAAAGTAATAATTAGCCAGGCCCCAGAGTGAAGCCGGTCACCCTTCACCTTGGCCGGATGAACGCTCGGGGACCCATTCAAGTCTGCAAAACCATTGAGCTCTGACCAGCTAGCGAAGTGGCAGGTATTTGGTAGAAAACGGTCGTGAGAACTCGCATGTATTCATCAGTTCACAATTTGAAGAAGTCAGGGTAACCTTGAGGTCTTGAGCAAGGACTCTCATTGAGGGATCAGGAGACCAGGGCCCGCCCCCTGTTATGTAAACACAATTGTATCGGAGTTTAGCTGTGTCCATTCATCTATGGGCTGTCTGTGGCTGCTCCTTCTGCACTACAACAGCACAGCTGAGTTGTTTGGACAGAGACCATATGGCCTGCCAAGCCTAGAATATTCACTCTCTGACCCTTTACAGAAAGGGCCTGATGACCTCTGCCCCAATTCACAAAGGCCGAGTTTGAATCCGGCACCAGCCACTTACCAGCTGTGTGACCTTGGGCAAATTACCTCACCCCCATTGTTCGCTTCAGGTTCTTCCTGTGGTCGTCAAAGCTAACAAGGGCACCTGTGTGGTGGAGGCGACTCGGGCTCACCACTGACTGCCTCAGTCACACACGCTCTTTTGAACTTGGCCGTGACTCTGTGACTTGCCTTGAGCTGTGAAACGCAAGGGGAAGTGTTGCTCCTTACCTACAGCACTGAGAGCGACGTGAGTCCCCTGTGCTCTCTTCCTCTGCCACATTGACCAAGAACGCCAGCCATGTGCCTTGGGTGTTGTAACTACAGAACAGTCAAGTTTGGGTTTCCAAACGATTACAAGAACTAGGGCACTGAGCATGAGTGAGAAGCAAACCTTCAGTGTTAAAGCCACTAAGCTTAGGTGCGCAATGAATTCCAGCTGAAATGAATAAGGATTATTTTTCAAATCTTACCTCGTTTTCAATTTCACAGTGACTGCCGCCTTCATGTACTTATCCAGTGAACTCTAACGAGCGCCTGTGTTGTATGGTTGTCTGCTAGACTGTGGGATATGAGTAAGAGATGCTTCCTGTCCGGAGAGGAGTTCCATCTGACCCAGACACGAGAAGCGATATTAAAGGAAGTCGGTGCAGAGCCAAATCTCAAAGGTAAGTGTGGGTGTGCCCATGGAGAAGAGAAAGAAAGACACGGCCTAACAAGGGACATGGAAGCCAGCAGTTCCATGGAAGCAAATGTGCTTTTGAAGAAATTCTTAAAATGTGCTTTATTTCTTTGGGAGACAGAGAGAGAACCGGCTCCAAACTGCTGGCTCATTTCCCCAGATGCTTGCAATAACCAGGGCTGGACCAGGTCAAAGCTGGGAGCTTAGACTTCAACCCAGGTGTCTTATGTGGGTGGCAGAAAGCCAAACACTTGCCCCATCGCCACTACCTCCCAGGGTTTGTCTTATCGGGAAGCTGGGGTTAGGAACTGAAGGTAGGCATCAGAGCCAGTCATTCCAGTATAGACTGTGGGCATCTTAACCAGTGTCTTAACTGCGGGGCTAAATGCCCGCCTTGGGTGGAATATTGAGAGATCCATGTGACAGAGAGGCAGGATTCTGGTTAGGGATGTAGCAGACAATATTGCTTGGCCACTCGACAGCCATTTGCAACCTACTTTATCCTCAAGGTCCTTATATTATGGAAGAAAAACAAGAAAGCCTCTCTGGAAGCTAGAGTGGCCATCTGATACAGTCTCATCAAAAGAGATGACAGGAGAAGTCTCCCAGGGAGCTTCCCATTAAAGCAGAGAAGCACATAAAGAAAGCTCATCATTATCATGTGTGGGTGGAATGCCTGGAGCTGCAGCAGCCATGTTGTGATCATAAGGTCAAGAAAATTGGAAACCTGGACCCAGTTTCTGGACCTCAAGATATTACAGAAGCAACAAGGTAAACACACACATCCAGACCTCTCAGTACATAAACTAATCGACACCCTTGTGACTTAAGCCACTGCTCCTCTCTTATGTGCAGATCAAGGGACCTTCACTGATGGAGAAGTTGTAAGAAACAAAGCTGGAGAAACTCACAGGGCCCTTGAAAACCATGGGGTAAGTTCCAGATCTTGCAAAGAAAAGCAACCCCGGGCTTAAAGAAGGGTAAGTCTCTGCCCAGGATTCTACCACTAACGGGTATCAAAACCGAGATCTGCCCAGAGGTCTTCCAAGCCAAGTCTGAGTCTCTCTACCAGGATGTGGGGCATTTTGCCTTTTCCACCAAATGGTCCCAGCCACTTCCCCTGGGAAAGCCTGTTTTGAATCATGGACATTTCTAACCTGAAGAATTTGAGATTTGACCAAAATCTCCTTCTAATTTCAAAGCAGGTCTGTGATCTTTACCAACGAGAAGACTTGAGGAAGGGTGTGGAGAAATGAGAGAAGGTGAGACATCTCAGGGCCGAACTGACCTTGGGGAAAGACTTGCAGAGACGCGGACCGCGGAGGAAACTAGAAACAGGGAAGACGGTTCCAAGCGTGCCACATACTGGTTCTGCTGGCTGAGAAAAAAGCAGCAAGCATACCATCCTCTCCTGCCACCCCGCGACTTGCACCTCTCTGACCTGTGTGGCTCCAACAGGCACCTGGGGGTTCTGTCTCACTGGGAGATGGCCGCCTCCTGCACAGGCCGCCAGCACAATGACATCTGCCACGAGGCCCTCACCAGAGGCCGAGCCAACAGTGCTGCCCAACCTTGGACTTTTAGCTTCCAATACTGCGAGCTAACCCTTTCCCTTTGCAAAGCACTCAGTGTCAGATATGTCGCTTTAGCAGTGGAAAACTGTGGGGAGCAACTGGGAGCAACTCGGACTAGACTAAGTTACTGGAATTAAGACTTATTCTATGCATCTGCTCTCCCACAATATGGCGCTGAGAAGGGAGAAACAGCTTCTACACAGCTGCCTCCAGTTCAACCAATAAGCAGCAGGACCTGCTCCTGATTGGAGGAGAGCAGCGTACTCGGCGTGTGGGTAGCAGAGTTGGGATTGGTGGAAGAGGACTATAAAGGAGGAGAGAGACAACATGCACCAGGAACATCCATCTGAAGGAACACCTGTGCAGCCCCCGAGAGAGCCGGCCGGCGGTGTGCCGCTCCCCTGCGGAAGTGGGGAAAGTGGCAGGGGGCACCGCCCTTCCACGGAGGTGGAAGGGACGGTAGCCAACCCGGGAAGAACCAGCAGCAAACCCGGGGAGGGCCGAGCAGACGAAGAACAACGCAGGGTCCTGTGTCGTTCCTCCACGAAGACGGGGAGTGACAGAAAACGAACCAATGCGTTTAACAATTAACAAGCACTTGGTGAGTGTGATTAGGATGACTCAGGACACTGGCCCTCACTCTGATGACACTGCAGCTCATGGGGCTTATAGTGCCCGTGCCAGTGTACACTGGGCTGCTGACATCCCAACACCGTCCCTCCCACCCTACAGCACTCACATACACGGCTGGAGGTCAAGTGTTTCCCCCCCGGACCTGGGAACTCAGCATTCTCCTACAGATCCTGGTTCAATCAGCTCCTCCGGCCCTGTGTCTCATGCTGCCCCAAGTAGTGCTAACCCTGACCCCTTAGCACCGCTGGGTGCTGGTCCTCTGCCTTTGGCCCCCTCTGTGCTCTCCGGGAGGAGAAAGGAGGGGAGGGAGTGTGGGCTGGGAGGCTTCTCGCTTCTCTCGCAGTTGCCCCTGACTCAGCAGTTGGCTCACAAGCTCCAGAACTGTTCCTTTTCCCTGGGACACCTCGTCGGAGGGCACTGCTAGCCCGTAAGCGTGCAGGCCCCACCACAGGGACGTTTACTGGGGGAGGGGCTGGGTGGGGACAAGCTGATGTGCCTGTGTTTCTGCCCCTTCTCTCCCCCCTTTCTTACTGCTCTGAGAACATCAAGGACAGAGGCACTGTCTCTTCTGTTATTTGCAGTGTGTGTGTGGAATTTTGCTTTTCACAGAGTGAAACGATGGGCCATCTGGCTGGCTCAGAAAGGTTATTATTTCTAACAACCATAGTCGTGGCTCGCATTCACTGAGCACTTACTACAAGCCTGGAAGATGGCTAAGCCCTTTCTGTGAATTAATGTGCAGAATGTGAACAATACCCTTGGGAAGGCAGGTGCATGTTAAAAATCACTCTTCTGCAGGTCCAGAGACTGGAGCTTAGAGAATCACTTGGCCGAGGTGTGCAGCCAGCAAGCGACAAAGGCAGGGCTCCATCCCGGCCCACCTGACTCTCAACCCGTGCCCTCCCTCTGTGCTTCCCCCACTATGTGGCACATGTCGATCACCTTGAGACCTGGCCAAAATGCATATGTCAACTCAGCAGGATGGGGCGGGGACCTAAGAGTCAGCATTTCCAAGAAGCTCTCGTGTGACACGGGTGCTGCTGCTAACAGCTCACGCTTCTAAGTTGTGCCCATCTGAGTTACACTATAGTTCCTATAGTTACACAATAGTTCAGGTTGATTGCAAGGTGATCAGTGAAATTCTTTCCTAAAATCGAATCATGGAAAAGTTCGTGGGTAGGGGCCCTGGGTTTAAATTGGCAGCAGCTGTCTCTTTTATTCCAATGTTGGACATCCTCTGCTCTTAGAAATACAGTTTCCTCATAGGCAGGAGGAGGCTAATATTGCCACCTGAAGGGTGATTGTAAGGGATAAGATGGGAAAGTGCCCCTGGAAGGGGCTCTGTGGACTGCACCAAAAATCTATTAAGTAACAGCTCGTCAAGGGACTTGTTATTAAAGCAGTAAAAACCAAAATAACATCTCTAATAACAACTCCCAGTAACGGCCCATGCATAAGGTCCTGTGTTACAGTCGCTCCACTTTTCATTCATGCCCCAGTCTTTTTTACTTAACCATCTGCCGGATGATCAAGGGTAAAGAGATCCATCACCATGTTTTACTGCACTAATTAGAGACTTTCACTATCTCAGCATCCGAGTCCTAAGGAACTCTGTGCAATGTTGTTTTATAGCCACAAAGTGATTATCCCAAGCCTCTTCCATCTTTGGAAAAACAGATGAAAAAAAAAAAACGAATCTTCGGTTCCATCCCTCCCCCCCCCCAAAAAAAAATGAAATCACAAGGAAGGCAAGAATGCTAAGCAAAGCTGATGCCCATCTTTGAAGGGGCCTTGAAGGACCAGCCACAGATGGCTGCCAGAGATATTGCTAATCTGACCAAATGACAGAATAGTAGAATTCGGGTACTTCTCATCAGCTCCCTTCATTCTTCCTCCACAAGCAGCTAAATGCACTGAGCTACAAATTATTTGCTGCTGCTCCCTTTAAGAGGTGGACCCTCTCCCCTCTCCCCTCTCCTCATGAATCTAAGCTTCCGCTTGGTTTACACCGGTAGAATGCAGTGAAAATGACACTCGGGAGCTTCCCAGGCCTTCGAAGGACAGACAGCTTTTGCTTTCTCCCGCTTGCAAGTTAGTTGCATGCTCTGAAGAAGCTTGGGCCAAACTGCTGCAGGGTGAGAGGCCCTGGGGTGGAAGGAGGTCTGAGGATGAGGCCACCTTGTGCATTATGTCTCTAGGTAAGCGTCCAGTGGAAGGCACCTGCGCCAGTGCTGTCAGCTGCACCTTGCTGAGCAAAAGAACCACCCAGCAGAGCCCAGTCCACCTGTAATATTGAGAAGTGATACATTGTTGTTGCTTTAGGCCCTACATTGGGGGATGACTAGTTACACAGAAATGGATAACTAAAATACTAGATGTTTCTTGAGTCTATTTTTTTCCTAATCTTCCCTTCCATATATCTTATGTACTAAAGTCCCCATGCCAGCAGTATAGGTATCACCCAGACACTTAATGGAAATGCGAGTTTTAAGCCCACCTCAGACTACTTGACTAGAAACTCAGGGGTGAGGCCCAGTAATCTGTATTTTTTTAAAGATTTTCTTTATTTATTTGAAAGTCAGAGTTACACAGAGAGAAGAGAGGCACAGAGAGAGAGCGGTCTTCCATCCAGTGATTCACTCCCCAATTGGCTGCAATGGCCGGAGCTACGCCAATCCGAAGCCGGGAGCCAGGAGTTTCTTCCAGGTCTCTCACACAGGTGCAGGGGCCCAAAGACTTGGGCTATCTTCCACTGCTTTCCCAGGCCATAGCAGAGAGCTGGATAGGAAGTGGAGCAGCCGGGACTAGAACCGGCGCCCATATGGGATGCCAGCGCTTCAGGCCAGGGCATTAACCTGCTGAATTACAGCGCCGGCCCCAGTAATGTGTATTAACAAGCCTTCTGGATGATTCCTATGTGTCACTCAAGTTTAAGAAGCACTGAATTCAGCCATTTTTTTTTTTATTTGACAGGCAGAGTTAGACAATGAGAGAGAGAGAGACAGAGAGAAAGGTCTTCCTTCTGTTGGTTCACTCCCCAAATGGCCACTACGGCTGGTGCGCTGCACCGATCCGAAGCCAGGAGCCAGGTGCTTCCTCCTGGTCTCCCATGCAGGTGCAGGGGCCCAAGCACTTGGGCCATCCTCCACTGCCTTCCCGGGCCACAGCAGAGAGCTGGACTGGAAGAGGAGCAACCAGGACTAGAACCTGGCACCCATGTGGGATCTTGGCACCGCAGGTGGAGGATTAACCAAGTGAGCCTCGGCACTGGCCGCAGCCAGTGGTTTTCTATCCTAGATGGGTGTCTTAACCACCTGTGGCTGCTTGCTCAGCCTCACCCAGACCATCCAAACCAGGTAAACCCGAAGTGTACACAGCACTGAACACGCTACACTCTCACTCTGCTGAGCACCCAGAGACCAAGGAGGAACTGGAGAGGATCCACAAAATGTCCAGGCTCTCCAGAACAGAAAGAGTCACCTGGAGATGTGATAGAAATACAAATACTGATCGGTCGGTAGGTCTGGGGTGGAGCTGGCATTCTGCATGTCTAAAGAGCTCCCCGGTGGGGCTGGTGCCCCTACTGACTTCACCAGGGCAGCAGCAGAGCTGTGGGCCCTCGCCATCTTCTCGGAAGGGAAAGGGCTTGAAAGGTGTTTTTACATTGCGCATGCGCACACGCAAAGCCCCCTGTGTACTAAGCAAGTGCTGTTGAGGGAGCCACCACGTCCCTGCTGCACCGTCTTGAAGGAAGTCTCCCTACGCGCGAGGTTATTGGAGCTTTGCCTCAAAGAACGGAAAGGATTTTGTCCAATATGCATGGAGAATGGCGCTCCAAGGCAAAGCTAAGGCTCCTGGCTCCAGAGCAGCCACACAGTGAGGCGGGGGTCTAGCTTGGGTGGGTGGGGGAAAGAGAAATAAAGCCAGAAATTGTTTGTGGGCAGGTTATGGATGGCCATGCATGTTAGGCAACAACAACAACAAAAGTGTGAATTGGTAGAATTCCCACAGGCCACGGGGAGTTACAGAAATTTCTTCTGCAAGGCTGGGATGTCCCTCAGCAAGCACAACATGGTTCCCACGGAAAGTGGCAGCGTTGCTCTGAATGCCCATCTTTGTCACGACCACAAGATTTATATCACGAGACACAGAGACGCCAGAAAGACTCGGGGTCCTGGAATCGGATGCAGCAGACCAATATTTTGAAACCCATGTCTCGCCTGCCTTGAGAAAGTACAGGGCTCCCATCTCCTTGCAGAATTGTCCTGAGGAGGACGAACAGCAAGCTTTCCACCCCCCAGAGACCACAGCTCTGCTCACATGACCCGCTAAGTAATGCTCTCGGTGTCACAATGAGCAGAAAAATGTGCGTGATGGAATGAAAATCCCTACTGCCCGGCTACCCGTGGGCAGTCTCAGTTACTATGGAAAATTCCTGATTAAAGTCAGCAGAAGAATTTCCTAGCTAGCGACTCTTATTAATAGGCGCTTCAGCCTGGCGCTGACATTCAAGATTGGTTTCTTTAATATGTCATTGCACAAGCCAGGTGATTCAACCCCTCTGTGTTTGAAAAGCAAAGAGCATGCACCCACCTTCGCCAAGCTGACTACCCTTTTTAATAACCCACGCGGTCCTGCTCAGTTAGCATGAGAACAAAACTGCAACCATGAAATTATTTTAACAAGACCATAAAAAAAACAATTTGCTTGAGTGATGTTTAGGGAGAAGGGGAGGACCCACCCTCTCTCTAAACTAATTAAACTGTACTATATGTCCTTGTGTAGTTTCTGACATTTTTCTGGTTCACTCAGTTTGAATGGTTATACAAGGATCGGCGCCAAGCTCCCAAATGGCTAACTCCAAACAAAAGCAGAGTCTCCAGAGAATTCTTGAGCATCCAGCAAACGGAGGGAAAGTTGTTTTGAGTTCATCAATGTCCTTCAGTTACAATCACGTCTTGCCTCATTGAAAAGATGGAAAACAAGGAGTCACTGTTTGAAGCCCAATGCAGGACGAACTAGGAAGTGACATTGACCTTGTTATGTTGTTTTAATGTTATTTTTTTTTTCTTAAGATCACACCCTGTTTGGGATGAGGCCGTTGACAATGGCCCCTCATTTTCTGTCCCCCCCTTCACTCCACCCTGTGATAATTCATGTCTTTCCCACTCACACTGGTTATTACTGCAGGCCACTGGCAGCTTCCTCACACGTCTTTGCAGGCAAGGGGTCTCTTCTCAGTCTGGCAGGCACCAGACATTGATTCATGGCTGGGAACTTTGGTTTCTGGCCAGGCAAGCCTTCGTTTCAGCTGTGAAGGCCTTGGGGTGTTGGTCAGGCTCTCATCAAATCAAGCTGGAAAACGCAGTCAGCGTCTTGGACACGGCCCAGTCTCGGACGTGTTGACACGCAACCTTCTTCTGAAAATCGTGTCCGTGTGTACTGAGCCTGAATATCGTGGCCTCATGCTTCTTCAAACTAATGTTTACCAACCCCTTTGGAGTTGAAAGAAAATGTTGCCGTCTGAAAACCTCTTTAACATTG